ACTCTGCACATCCCCCATACCTCATCTCACTGACTGCCTGCAACTGCACAATTGCAAAGCCTCTAATTTTTTATTTCCTGTAAACATAGGAGCCATGCAAATACACCTTTTAATGAGTTCCAGCCACAGCTCTCCCCCTCAGCACTTCTGACAGAGACTATCTGCAGAAACTTAATGTTTTCTGATAAGTAATTAATGAAGTAGAAAGCCAAAAATTCAATAGTAAGTTCTTTGGGGGAAAGGAACACCATCTTTTATGTTTGTACAGCATCTAGTACTTTGTAGGTACTCCCAGAAAACTACTGCAACACTTAACCAATATAAATACTGCATTTTACAGAAAACAATGATTCATTCTTACTACTTTAAGACAACAGTTCCCTTCCGCTTGTCTCCTTTCATGATACCTAGCTCATTTATTTTTAAATCTTCTCTCCCTCTGAAGCTGAGATAGCCATTACATTAAAATAATGACAAAACATATTACGTGAAGACTATTCTGGTTCATACAGCAAGTCCACGCCACAGCAAAGCAGCACGTTAGCACATATTTTACAAATAGTGATATCTACTTTCTTTATCAAGACTTTTCCCTGTTCAAAAGCAGGAGAGCACAAGGCCTGAATTAGAAAGCCCTTGTGACTTGTAGCCTAAAGTGACAGCCACATACACTGCACAAGATAGAAAGATATCACAGTTGGGGAAACAGAGAAACCAAGTGAAGGGGAAAAAGTCAGAGATCATCAAACTAGAGATCAAGCTCATAATCTCTTTTCAAGCCCTTCCTAATGTATTCAGAGTACTGAACACTTATGTAGCATCTCACCCAAGAATCAGTAATCACAAGTTTTTGTCAAGAATTAAGACATTTTAGGAGTGCTGTTTCCCAGAATATACAGTACAGAAGTTCTGGGAGGCATTTCTGTTGTAGTAAATGTTTTTTGTATATATATTTATATCTGGTGCATGCACCATCATGAAAAACACAATTGGTCTGCTGTATTTGTAAACCTTAGTTTAAAACTGAGAGCAGAGAGACCTGTATGCTTCTATCAATAACTGCAGCTAATTTTTAGACATGGGGGGGAAAAAGGTTTCTTGCAGAGAGAGTCTGAATGCCAAGATATGTAAATCCTGCATAATATGGCTTGCTCTTAATCACATTTCGTCAATATGTGGTTCAAAACATTAGTATCATCACTTCCCCGGAGACTCACGTCCTAAAGAAATGGTGTATAAAATAGCTACAACATGGTTAGGTGCACATTAGTCAAACTGGCTGCACTTTATGCCAGACTTTCAGCCTGATCCATCTCTCCCACTGAAGTCAACAGGAGTTGGATCATGTCTTTAAAGTACGTAAATTAACCAGCACAACAGACACAGAGAACATTACGTGCAAAAGAAGATTTAAAAATCCTCTGTTACTCAGCTTTCACCCTCTTGACTCTAGGGATTTCATAGTTTCAACAACTCCAAGAGTCAGAGAGCCTTCCAGAGCAGACAAGACCTGAATTTGTAATATGTTAAAAACAAGCAAGATTAAAAAAATATATACACTGGGCCTTTGTTATACAAGAAGAGCACAAACCCAACCTTTTCTCCTGTGCAGTTAACCTTCACAAAAAAAGAGAAAAGGATTTTAGGTTTTATACATAGTGTTTTCCTTAACTTTTGTTAAAAAGTTCTTAGTTTCAGAGTTGCCAAAAAAGTGAAGGGATCCTTGACAAATAAATAGTATGTGCTGGGAAAATGTTTCCTTGGACACTCTTTGAAAGTGTGAAGACAGAAAAACTTTTAAACACAAAAAGAAATTTTGAGATCTTTCGTTCCCAATTTAATAAAGTCCCCCTGCTACCCCTGGTTAAAAGCAGGAAAAATGCTCAATTTGTTGCTGTCATTTGGATCTAGCCATCTAAGCACCAGTTCCCTTTATTCACAGCTCTTAGTTAGCTTTTCTTTTCTCCAAAAGAAGGATTCTGTCACATCTTAACTACTTAAAGCAGTGATACTCAGACCTCAGTTGTTCATGAGCCAAATTAGCTATCAACATTACCCAAGAGAGTCACAGTAGTGTAAATTCACAGTTTCATTTACTCCTTTTTATATATATATTTTTATGTATTTTCTTGGTTATTCTGACCAAGTATTATTATATCAACTACAACTGGTTAATAACATTGTACAGTAAAAGTTGTGTTGATCTGCACTTTAACAACCAGAAAGCTCTAGAAACCGGCACTTCTGATATCCGTTATAAGTCCGGTTGGCATAGGGGCCGGCAGGCTCCCTACCTGGCGACATATCCCTGCTGCTCCTAGGCAGAGAAACGGCCATGGGGGCTCTGTGCGCTGCACCCACAGCTCCCGTTGGCCAGGAACCATGGCCAATGGGAACTGCAGGGGCAGAGGCAACGTGCAGAACCACCTGACCACGCCTCCGTCTAGAAACAGCAGGGACACATCGCCATCTGTGGGGAGTCGCCCGAGGTGAGCACTGCCCCGATCCAGCACTCTGAAACCCATCCCGTGCCCCAACCTCCTGCCCTCTCCCGCACCCAAACTCCCTCCCAGAGCCTGCGTCCCCCATTCTCCCCCTTCCATTGGTAAGTATAACTCTTAGTTAACCAGAACTTTTGACTTACCAGCACCCTCCATTCCCCCAACATGCTGGATAACAAAGCTTTTACTGTAAAAGCATCCTGATTGGTTAATAATTAAATCACAGTGTTTTAATACTACGTGCTGGGCTCCCAAGCCCCAGTCTGAGTATCACTGACTTAAAGCCTAACAGCTCACAAGTGACCATAACCATAGATGGTAACAAGCATCCGACACCCTTTTGCAACACCTCCCTTCTCCCCAGCTAGAAGCATTTTTAACAGGCAATGAATTAAGATGGACTAGAATCCTGCTTGTCAAGTGCTACTGTAGGTTTTAAAGACTAAAATACTGCACAGTACATATCAGATAGGTAGGTGGCAAACCAGTTTACAGCAGAAGCTAAAGAGTTTTTAGGAAAATTAGTGCATGGCTGAAAGAACATCTCTAGATGATTGCACTGGATTCAGAGAAGCTCCTACAGTATTTTCTGAAGATATCACAGGTCAGTGAAATGAAAGTGTGTTTGTTTTTGGTTTAAGCCCTGTGCTTAAGGAAGCAGGGCTATCAATTTCAGATTCCTGCCAGTTCACCAGAACTGAGTTGGCAAGGAAAGCAAAGGAATGGAACTAAATACATCCTCACCACAACATTTGTAGTAAGCAGACAACTGCTCAACAGCTGATGTTTTTAAGAACCGTTACAGCCCTTATTTCAAAGATCTGACAGATTTAAGGAGAATAAAAATGAGGTTAACATCAAAGTGAGTTTTAGTTGGGACCCAACCATACAAGTCAGGTTTTGATATGCCAAGTGTTAATTTCCATTCTAATTTGTCTCCAGGGATTAAACTAAAACATCTAAGATTTCCGCCAGAAGAGCCCTCTCATGAAAATTAATGTTTTGAGATTTTTTTCTGTCCTCAGTTTAAACAGCTTTATGTTTTGTTTTAAATACCACGTATTAGTCCACATATAAGCAGATGAATTTCTAATAAAAAGTGACAGGTTCAACTCATTTAAGTTTTTTTTTTTAAAATCTACCTTTAGAGAACACTGGTTTTGGGGGAGTGTTGAGGTTTTGGGGGGTGTTTGTTTTTTGCAGCTTTCCTGGACACTAATTTATACAGATTGTTTTAAAACAAATATTACATGGCTACTCCATAC